AAGGCGATATAAAGTTGTAAAAGACTGGCATAAACTTAGAAAATTAGGGGTAAATATTAAGGTAACCACAAAGTAATCTAACAATCCTACAAATCAAAATAAAAAAGTAGAAAAACATAAAGACCCAGCAAACAAAAAATCTACAACAAAGAAAAAGATGAAATAAAATACATGAAGAAAAACGACTCAGCACAGAAAATTGAGGAGAACAAAGAAACTGTGAACAACACACGAAAAATATGTCCGAAGGTTGTTGTTCTGGGGTGCCATCAAGTCCATTCTAACTCATAGGACCCCATGTGACAGAGTAGAACTGCCCCACAGGATCTTCTAGGCTGTATTATTTACAAGAAGGAGCCCTGCTGGTGCTGTGGTTAAAGTGCTCTGGTGCTAACCAAAAGGTTGGCAGTTAGAACCCACCAGCCACTCTGTGGCAGAAAGATGCGGCAGTCTGCTTCTGTAAAGATTTACAGCCTTGGAAACCCTATAGGGTCACTATGAGTCAGAATTGATTCAGTGGCAATGGGTTTTGAGTAATCTTTATGCGAGCAGATAACCAGGTCTTTTCTCCCGTGGAGCCGCTGGTTGGGTTTGAACTGTCAACCTTCCAGTTAGCAACTGAGCTCTTAACCGTTGCACCACCAAGGTTAGTGTCGCTAAACTGCCCCGTGTTTAGTAGCTCCTTTACTTTATCAGCTTCTGAATTAAAAAAAAAGAAAAAAAATATTTGATAATTCCAAGTTCCTTTACAACCAGGCAAGTTTGAAGAATACATTTTACTGGGGCAGTCAAATGAATGTTTTTTATTATTACTGCACATTTGTGTAGCTCTTAACACATACAAATACCTTCACATATATCATCTCATTTGTTCTTCTTAATATCCGGACAATGCACTTTACAGTTAAAGAACCAAACTTCAGAAAGGTTAGCGTCTTGTCCAAGGGCACACAGCAATGAGGTCCGCCTAGCTCTGAAGCACACCTGCATTCCATCTGATCAAGCTGGTAGTAAATACCTACAGGAATGCATCAGAAAAATAGCACCATTCTCTAAGGCCCTTCTCCTGGGCTCCTCCAGAAGCTAAACAAATCAATATTCTTCTACCAGGACAAATAACTCAGGAGTGAGTTGGCCACTGGAGAAAATTGTGGGTCATTATTTTTTAAAAGACCAATGGACTTCATTGAATGCCAATCACCATGGTTGGGTCTGTGATAGAGAGCTCAATGGCCAATAAAAGAAGAATGAAGTCCCCGTGAAAAGCTCATGCCAAGGGGACAGACAAGACAGGTAAACAGATGACAACAGAGGATGCTGGGTACCATGATGGATATAAACAGAGTCCTACTGGGGTCCACGAGAGCCATCTTTCACCCAGCATTGGCTCCCCAATGTAGACACACCCAGAACTTAGTCTACTGCTCATCACTCTTCTTCCTTTCATGATTCCCTTTTAGATAACCAATCTCTCCACCATCCACCCTCTCCTGTCATCTCCTTCTTTATAAGCTGTAGAGACACTGATGCTGTCACTTTGACATCGTAAGGTTCAGTAGAATGTAAGCTCTTCAAGGGCAGGAACTTTGGTCTGCTTGTTTACTACTATGTCCCCCAGTGCCTAGAACAGCTCCTGGTACTGAGTAGGCATTCGAAATTTACACATTGATGAAAAAAAATCTGATATTCAATTAAGAAAAATGAGCTTAAGAAATTAAAAGCGAAGACTTCTTCCATGCCTCGCCTCACCCCATCCCGCAATGAATAGCACAGATTTTCCACATCCATCGATATGCTCATCCCTCCATTGTTTCCCACATTTAGTAGCTTCCACCGTGGTGTCCTGGTGTCCTCTTCCCAGACTGTGAGCTTCTATGCCCCTTCATGGTGTAGAAGGCGTCTCCCTTTCTCATAAGCACTGTCACTGGTAACCAGCAGGCTCTGATGTACTGTGTTCTGTGTAGATTGGAATTTGGAACTCCAATAGTGGGCTTAACATGACAGACGGCAACAGAGACAGGTCCAACAATATCACCGATTCACTGGCCAACCGAACGCTGATCGTCACCACCATTCTGGTAAGTGGGCTGCATGGAATTCCTACAGTCTAGATTCCTACCGTAGGCACTGAAGAATTCCTGATGGTTTCTTTCATGCCAACAACTCTGCCTGCAAATGTCCTTTGTTAATTATTGTATATACATATAAAAAAGAAAAAATCAAACCCACTGCTGTCAAGTCAATTCTGACTCATAGTGACCCTATAGGACAGAGTAGAACTGCCCCATAGGGTTTCCAAGGAGCAGCTGGTGGATTCGAACTGCCGACCTCTTGGTTAGCAGCCAAATTCTTAACCACTGTGCCACCAGGGCTCCATATACATACATACCTGTATGTATATATATATTAAATTTTTTTTTTTAAATTGCTGTTGAGTCGATTCTGACTCATGATGACCCCGTGCCTTCCAAGGCACTTCTGGGTGAGTTCGAACCGCCAATCTTTTGGCTAGTATTTGGGTTCTTAACTGTTTGCACCCCCCAGAGACTCATCAGTAGTATAGTAACTATTATAACTTTATAAAATAAAATCGTCTTTCACTTAGGCAAGATAAGAATTAATAACATCATAGATCATGGTAAACCTAAAAACCAAAGCAGTTGCTGTCAAGTCGATTCTGCTTCATGGTGACCCCGTGGGTTCTGGAGCAGAACTGTGCTCCGTGGGATTGTCGAGGCTGATTTTTTGGAAGTAGACCTCCGGACCTTTCTTCCAAGGTGACTCTGGGCAGACTTGAACTTCCAAGCTTTCGGTTAGCATCTGACTGTGTTCATTGTTTGCACTACCTAGGGTGTCCACAGATCATGGTGGTAAATGAGAAATGTCCACTATTCATACACGAGGGGATTTATTATGTAAGCACATACGCAGAGAATTGCCAGATGTGAGATTTGAGGTAATTTCAAATAAGAAAGTGAGATTCATAAGAGAAGACACAGAAATGGTCACTGGAATAAGATTCCCTAAAAGAAATCAGCCAAAACATACAGAGAGAAGTGAATGGTTAAGATGAGATGAAATATAGCTGGGAGATGAGGCAATGGATCATTCAGTAGACAGCACATTTGAGGAAGGAGAAAATCTAATTGTTAATATAGATTTCCCTTTTGTAAGTAGGTGAGGTTCTTAGACTAAAACCAGGAGGTAGGCTAGGTCACCCAGAGGAAGTCTAGCCAACGCTGCCTTTGCCCCACCCCCTTCTCAGACCCAAAGCGGAAACATCCGTGCACCCTCATCACACCATTCTCTCCCAGCACGGCCCCCACATTGGAGGAAAAAGCTCCCATCTAAAGAGGCAGGTGGGAGAGAAAGGAAAAGCCATCCCCCAAGTGTCTGTATTTGCACAGGGTGGAGAGAAGATGAGCAAGGCAAAGGCAGGGAAGTGAGCAACTGAGTTCAATCCTCTCAAATCTTAAAAAATCATTTTTAAATATTTTATATCTTCAAGCTGCTAGTGGAGCTTGCCACAGTAAATTCTGCCTTTCATTATAATAGTATTTTCATATTTGGTTTGTTTTATATAGGAAGAGCCCTATGTGATGTACAGGAAGTCTGATAAGCCCCTATATGGAAATGACAGATTTGAAGGATATTGCCTGGATCTGTTGAAGGAATTGTCAAACATCCTGGGTTTCATTTACGATGTCAAGCTAGTCCCTGATGGCAAATATGGAGCCCAGAATGACAAAGGAGAATGGAATGGGATGGTTAAGGAACTCATAGATCACGTAAGCAAAACTGCGTCTCCTAAATAAGGGTCACATTTGTCTGGAAAAATAAATGCATAATAAGAGGAAGAAAGACGAAAGAGAAAAACTGGGTCAGTCAGTGTCAGACTCCTGGTATCTCCGTGTACAACAGAACAAAACACTGCCCAGTCCTGTGCCATCCTCACAATCGCTGGCATCCTTGAGTCCATTGTTGAGGCCATTGTGTATTTTGAGTGTTCTCCAACCTAGGAAGCTCATCTTCCAGCACCATATCAGATAATATACTGTTTTGATCCATAGAGTTTTCGCTGGCTAATTTTTGGCGGTAGATCACCAGGCCTTTCTTCCTAGACTGTCTTAGTCTAGAAGCTCTGCTGTAACCTGTCCACCATGCGTGACGTGCTGATATTTGAAATACTGGTGGTGTAGCTTCCAGCATCATAGTAACACGCAAGCCACCACAGTAGGACCAACTGACAGATGGGTGGTGCTTTGAATCACAAAAAGGATTAAAATGTAGGAGGGAACACCTAGAAATGGAGTTTGCTTCCTTGGAAGGGCAAGAGAGGATAAAAGGGTGAGTCCATCCATTATACTGAAGAATAAGCCTGAGTGATTCTTAAATTAGGTAAAGAATTCCTAAAGTTCTCAGCTCAGAGTGAAATCTCATCTTGCCAGCTATTATGACCAAGCTGCTAATACCTTGCTTTTCTCACATGCCCTTCTTAAAAAAACCCTGCGGGGATTTCTTAGTTTCGTGTATATGTATGTATGTGTGTGTGTGTGCGCGTGCATTTACGCACACACGTTTATACCTTCTGATTTCTCTATGCTAGTAAATATTGAATTAATAAAACATAACTGTATAAATCCACTCTTTTTATATCAAAGCCAATCATCACAAGAACTGCTTGCGTGAGAAGCATTGCTATTAGTTGCCATTGAGTCGATTCTGACTCATGGCGACCCCACGTGTGCAGAGTATAACTGCTCTGCAGGGTTTTCAAGGTGTGACCTTTCTGAAGCAGATTGCCAGGCCTGTCTTCCAGGCACCTCTGGGTGAGTTTGAATAGCCAACGTTTTGTTTAGTAGTCAAGTGCTTCATCATTTGCGCTCCCCAAAGACTGAGAAGCCTTAGGAGTTGAGAATAGGGATCACCAGTGCCCAGGAAAAGTCCAGACATTTGCAGAGAAGCTAGACTACTAAGGTAATCATTTCTGGCTTGCTTTTGCAGAGAGCCGACCTGGCCGTGGCTCCTCTTACGATTACCTATGTGCGGGAGAAAGTCATTGACTTCTCTAAGCCCTTCATGACCCTGGGCATCAGCATTCTCTACCGGAAGCCCAATGGTACCAATCCGGGCGTCTTCTCCTTCCTCAACCCCTTGTCTCCTGACATTTGGATGTATGTGCTCTTGGCCTGCCTGGGGGTCAGTTGTGTGCTCTTTGTGATCGCAAGGTAAGTTCAAGGACTACTGAACTTCCTGCCACAGGTCTGGGCCGGTCTCAGATTTACCAGTGGGTTCTACAGGGAGACCAAGATTAAGAACTTCAAAGTGCTATTTTCATTTTGTCTAGTTCTATTTTGTCATAGTTTCCCACATTAAAGCCACAGTGTAAGCGAGTATTTTCTAATTATTTATAAAGGTACTTTAAAAAGAGAGTAAAGCAATAATTTTGTATGAATTTCTTTCTTTCAGTACTTCAAGAAATATAAAAGGATCATTTGCCCATTTTCCTTCAGTCATATGACAACAAAAATAGTGCCTCAACTAATAAATGTAAAATGTTTCAATAGGAATAAATAAAATGATGTCCAGATCGCTGGAATATTTGGTCACACAAATCTAAGAGAAAAGTCAGCTAAGAATTATTGTAGCAAATAAGAAACACTGGAATCAAACAAGATTGAGAAATCCTCAGGAATAAAGACAAATGTTTTTGAGAAGTTTATGAAGTTTATTTTTAAAAAACATTTGAGAATGAGTAAGAGAATTCTAGAAATAACTAGAAAAGGATAGATCACTCACATACAGACTCTAGAGGCATAAAATCTTTATGGCACCATCAAGATGATTCAGTTTAGGTTTAATCTGTTGAGATTTAATTCTATATTTAACCATTCTGCTCTATGCAGTCTTCAGAGGATTTTTATACCTTGCAGTACATCATGTTTTCGAAATACCTTGATGCTGAATTTGAAACATAGCTACTTTATCTTTCTGTGGGCTTAAACATTTGCTATCCCTAGATAAACCATGTAAAAAATAATTGCTTTTGTCTGCCCCTACTTGTTCTTCCTCTTTTTCACCTTTTAACAAAACCCAGTGAACTTTTTCTCGAATCAATTTTTGTTTTCCCTCCAGGAATTTCTAAAAGACATATTTCTTCATGCTAGCTGTTTGTCATGGTCCACTGTCTGGTTTTGATTAACGCCAGGTAGCATTTTCCCTGGTGTAATTGTACAGAAAGCTTAGAAAAATAACCCAGTCTGGAAAGGTCCTAAAGATCCACAAGGCAGATGTAGTCAAAATGAATAAATGTGTGCTCTCACATGTGAATATTTATGCATCCAATGAGAACGGTTTTGCAATTTTATATACATAATAAATTATACCATTACCAAATCCCAGATGGTTTCCCAAATTTTGGGTAAACATTAAACTACATTTAAATAGTAACCAAAGCTCTCTTTCCATGCACCTTAACTCAGAAAGTAAAATAGCAATATTATCAATACTTTAATACTCTAAGTGAGTGGTTCTCAGTCGGGAGAGATTAAGCCACCCCATGGGACATCTGGCAATGTCTGCAGATAATTTTGGTTGTCACAACTTGGTGACCGGGTGTGCTGCTGGTATCAAGTAGGTAGAGTTCAGGACGCTGCCAAATACCCTATAATGCACAGGACAGTCCCCTACAACAAAGAATTATCAGGCTCAAAATGTTAATAGTGCCAAGGCTGAGAAACCACGTTCTATCTAATTAAAGGTGATGTTACTTTGAGTATCAAATTTTTAAAAATGAAGTGCTCACCTTTGGAGGTTCATTTCTCATTTCAGACTCCTGGGGGAAGTTAATACCCACCTACAGGCCATTTAACAAATGACTACCCTAAGGTGACAGATGCTGTAAAGAATAAGACATCTGGCATTGACCTGTTGCTCCATTTCTGTGCTCTGGGAAGACCCACACCTATTGGGTGATATGAAGACTAGTAGACCAACCCAAGCAGCAGAGGTTGACAGAAGAGTGAGCTTCCATATCCTCCCACTTGTGATTCTATCTAGGCAACGGTGCCGATCAGTACAACAGGCAAGACAATGGTGATGAGCAAGCACATTATTGATTATGCGAACTTGACCAAAAGAAAAAACAACCCCGTTGTCGTCAAATCAATTCCCACTCATAGCTACTCTATAGGACAGAGTAGAACTGCCCCATACGGTTTCCAAGGAGCAGTTGGTGGATTTGAGCTGCCGACCTTTTTGGTTAGCAACTGAGCTCTTAACTACTGTACCACCAGGGCTCCGTGACCGAAGACAGTGGGAGAAAAAAACATACCTGTGGCATCCAGACGTTTTCACAAGCAAAACAGACTCAAAGTACCCCTTTACACTTGTTTTTGTCATCAGAATACCTTACCATAGTGTAATATTCAGTCCTTATTTTGTCTGTTCCTCCATAAATTCTAGGTGACCGAGACCCTTGTATTTTCTGACTTCACACATTCTATTTCCATCACGATAGCAGGTCCTCCCCCAATCAATATTATTCACTTAGTACTCCAATTCATTGACAGTACCATTTATAAATCAACCCAAACCTATACCCAACGCCCTCGAGTCAATTCTGACTCATAGCAATCCTACAGGACAGAGTAGAACTGCCCCATGGTGTTTCCAAGGAGCAGCTGGTGGATTCGAACGCCGTCTTTTTGGTTAGCAGCCAAGCTCTTAACCATTGCACCATTAGGACTCCAATAAACCAGACCTTCCTTATTTAGCTTATTCTCCTTGCCTCCTCTCACTGCATCCCTCTCACTCTGGGTCTCGGGGGAGTGGAGGGCTAGATACTATGCATTAAATACAAACTTGCAAACATAGTGGTGAAAGAAACTATCGAAATATAGAAAGTAACTCCCTGCAGTGCACAGGGAGTAGGACAAAATTCTCAGCTGCATTCATCTTCTCTGTATCTTTAAGTGAGCGTTTCCAGTATTGTATCCTCTTGGTGAAACATCTTAATTGGTATTCTGTCTTCCAGGAGGCTTGTTTTTGCTAATGCCTTCAGTGCAGCTTGAACTTTTTCCTTCAATACTATCAGTTCCTGATCATGTGTTACCTCCTGAAATGTTGAATGTCAACCAATTATTTTGAGTACAGTGACTCTGTGTATTCCTTCCATGCTCTTTTGATGCTTCCTGCATCGTTCAGTATTTTGTGCATGGAATCCTTCAATATTGCAGCTCGTTGTTAGGTGCTGTTCAGTAGGTTCCTACTCATAGCGACCCTATGTACTACCCTCACAATCATCATTATGCTTGAGCCCATGGTTGCAGCCACGGTGTCAATCCATCTCTTTGAGGTTCTTCCTCTTTTTCACTGACCCTCTACTTTACCAAGCACGATGTCCTTCTCCAGGGACTGATCCCTTCTGATAACATGTCCAAAGTACATGAGATGAAGTCTCACTATCCTTGCTTTGAAGGAACATTCTGGCTGTACTTCTTCCCAAAGAGATTTGTTGATTCTTCTGGCAGTCCATGGTATATTCAATATTCTTCACCAACACCATAATTTAAAAGCGTCAATTCTTTTTAAGTCTTACTTATTCATTGTCCTGCTTTCCCATGCATGTGAGGCAATCAAAAATACCATGACTTGGGTCAGGCGCACCTTAGTTCTCAAAGTGACATCTTTGCTTTTTAATACTTTTAAGAGGTCTTCTCCACCAGAATTGCAATACAGTACGTCTGTTGATTTCTTGACTGCTGCTTCCATGCGTGTTGACTGTAGATCCAAGTAAAATGAAGTCCTTGACGTCAATCTTTTCTCCATTTATCATGATGTTGTTTATTGGTCCAGTTGTGAGGATTTTTGTTTTCTTTATGTTGAAGTGTAATCCATACTGAAGGCTTTAGTCTTTGATCTTCGTCAGTAAGCACTTCAAGTCCTCTTCACTTTCAGCAAGCAAGCAAGGTTGTATCATCTGCATATCATAGGTTGTTACTAGTCTTCCCCCAATCCTGATGCCCTGTTCTTCTTCAAATAGCCCAGCTTCTCGAATTATTTGCTCAACATACAGATTAAATAAGCATGGTGAAAGGATACAATCCTGATGCACACTTTTCCTGACTTTAAACCACACAGCTCTGTTCAAATGACTGCCTCTTGGTCTAGGTACAGGTTCCTCATAAGCACCGTTAAGTGTTCTGAAATTCCCATTCTTCCCAATGTTATCCGTACTTTGTTATGATCCACACAGTCAAATGCCTTTGCATACTCAATAAAACACAGCTAAACATCTTTCTGGAAACCCTGGTGCAGTAGTGGCTGCTAACCAAAAGGTCGACAGTTCAAATCCACCAAGCACTCCTTGGAAACCGTATGGGGCAGTTCTACTCTGTCCTATAGGGTCACTATGAGTTGGAATCAACTCAACGGCAACGGGTTTGTTTGTTTGTTTGTTTGTTTTAAACATCTTTCTGGTATTCTCTGCTTTCAGCCAGGATCCATCTGACATCAGCAATAATATCCCTGATTATACGTCCTCTTCTGAATCTGGCTTGAATTTCTAGAAGTTCCCTGTCAATGTACTGCTGCAACCACTTTTGAACGATTTTCAGCATAATTTTACTTGTGTGTGATATTAATGATATTGTCCTATAATTTCTGCATTCTGTTGGATCACCTTTCTTTGGAATGGGCACAAATATGGATCTCTTCCAGCCAGTTGGCCAGGTAGCTGTCTGCCAAATTTCCTGGCATAGATGAGTGAGCGCTTCTAGAGTTGCTTCCATTTGTTGTAACATCTCAGTTGATATTCCAACAATTCCTGGAACTTTGTTATTCACCAATGCCTTCAGTGCGGCTTGGACTTTTTCCTTTAGTACCATTAGTTCTTGATTATATGCTATCTCCTGAAATGGCTGAACGTTGACCAATTCTTTTTGATACAGTGACTCTGTGAATTCCTTCCATCTTCTTTTGATGCTTCCTGCATTGTTCAATATTTTTCCCACAGAATCCTTCAATACTGCAACTTGCAGATTGAAATTTTTCTTCAGTTCTTTCAGCTTGAGAAATGATGAGTGTGTTCTTCCCTTTTAGTTTTCTAACTCCAGGTCTTTGCACATTTCATTATTTTACTTTGTCTTCTCAAGCTGCCCTTTGAAATCTTCTGTTCAGCTCTTTTACTTCATCATTTCTTCCGTTTGCTGTAGCTACTTGACATGCAAGAGCAAGTTTCAGAGTCTCCTCTGACATCCATTTTGGTGTTTTCTTTCCTGTTTTTTTAATGATATTTCTTTCTTCATGTATAATGTCCTTGATATCATCCCACCACTCATCTTGTCTTTGATTGTTAGTGTTCAGTCTCTCAAATCTGTTCTTGAGATGGTCTCTAAATTCAGGCGGGATATACTCAAGGTAGTACTTTGGCTCTTGTGGACTTGTTTTTTCTTCAGCTTCAACTTGAACTTGCATATGAGCAACTGATGGTATTTTCTGCAGTCATCCCCTAGTCTTGTTCTGACAGATGATGTTGAGCTTCTCCATCGTCTCTTTCCACAGATGTAGTCAATTTGATTCCTGTGTATTCCATCTGGTGAGGTCCACATGTACAGTCATCGATTATGCTGTTGAAAAAAAAGTATTTCCAATAAATAGGTCACTGGTCTTGTAAAATTCTATCATACAATCCCCAATATGGTTTCTATTACCAAGGCTAGATTTTCCAACTACTGATCTTTCTTCTCTGCTTCCAATTTTCACATTCTAATCACTGATAATTATCAATGCATCTTGACTGCATGTTTGATCAATTTCAGACTGCAGCAGCTCATAAAAATCTTTAATTTCTTCATTTTTGGCATTAGTGATTGGTGTGTAAACTTGAATAATAGTCATATTAACAGTCTTCCTTGTAGGTGTATGGATATTATACTATCACTGACAGTGTTGTACTTCAGGATAGATCTTGAAATGTTCTTTTTTACAATGAATGCCATGCAGTTCCTCTTCAATTTGCCATTTCCAGCATAGTAGACAATATGAATGTCCAATTCAAAATGGCTAATACCAGTCCATTTCAGCTCACTAATGCCTAGAATATCAATCTTCAAGCACTCCTTTTCATTTTTTACGACTTCCAATTTTACTTCATTCATTTCGCATTCTGATTACAAGTGGATGTTTACAGTTGTTTCTTCTCATTTTAAGTCATGCCACATCAGCAAATGAAGGTCTTGAAAGTTTTACTCCATTCACGTCATTAAGGTCAACTCTACTTTGAGGAGGCAGCTCTTCCCCAGTTGTATTTTGAGTATCTTCCAATCTGAGGGGCTCATCTTCTGACACTATATCAGACAATGTTCCACTGCTCTTCATAAGGTTTTCACTGGCTAATTTTCTCAGAAGTAGATCACCAGCTCCTTTTTCCTAGTCTGTCTTAGTCTGGAAGCTCTGCTAAGACCTGTCCACCGTGGGTGTCCCTGCTGGTATTTGAAATACTGGTGGCATAGCTTCCAGCATCACAGCAACACACAAGCCCCCACAGTATGACAAACTGACAGATGAGTGGTGGCATTCAAAGTTAGTGAAGCGAAAAGGAAAACAGTATATCTCACAATCATCTTTAGCTTTGAAGAGACTTTTGAAGTTATGTATGTCCTTTTTATGTTTCTTTTAAAAAGGGAAAATAAAGACTGTCTCTATATCTAGATTAATGCCCTCACAGGATAGATACTTAAGAATCATTTGCTAAACTGAATTGAATTTATAAAGTGGTAGACATCAAAGGGACCAACTAAAGAAAATTATACAAAAAGTTTAGTGACTATGACTTGCAGCAAGTGCGGGTGTTAGTGTTTTCGTTTTTGTGGTTGACTTTTTTTCTAATTACTCCTTGAGAAGTATATGTTGTTGTTGTTAGGTGTCATTGTGTCGGTTGCGACTCATAGCAACCCTATGAGTACAACAGAATGAAACACTGCCCAGTTCTGCACCATTCTCACAAGCCTAGAGAAATACATAACCCCAAGGAATTATATTCATCCTGTACCCTCAATTTAAGTAGACCAAATATCCAAATATAATGTCTGCTTATATTATATCATTTATGTTTGTCTTCTTAAAACTAAACCTATTTTTAAGTTGGCATTTGGCAAAAATAATAATAATAATGAT